TGGCGTGTGGTGCTTCTCAGCGGACTTAAACTCAAGAGAGGCTGTGGTGTTGATGCTCTTCTCTAAGGGGACTGACGGGCTGGGCGTCCTTCTTATCTTAAATTCAGCCACTGTGAAAGTCCGTTGGACTCAACTCCAGCTTAAAGCTTTTTCTGCTTCTTGGAACTTGATGGACATTAGCATCTTCACTGCCACCTCTAGAGCCAGGGGAATTGCGGACTCCATCTCCAGTCTACCGAGGTGGCACAGGCAGCCAGGCTGGGCTTTGGTTTCATTAAAACTGGATGGATGGAAGTTTGCAGAGTTTACAGCCCACCAGGTGGCTCCCGTGTCACCCTGAGGGCTGCGCTGGCTTCTCCTCTGAGGATGGGATGGCTTGCCCTGGAGGTCTGATTTCCTCTGAGCCCCACCTCCACCTCCGCAGGAAAGGCAGCAAGCTCCCAGCGGATGTCCACGGCCCCTCTTGTTGCCTCTGCCTTCAGGCGGGTCCCTTCTTCAGTCACTGTATTTGAACAGTGCGGTGACGTAGGCAGCGGAGCGCGCAGCTCCGGGCTTTGTTCCGAAGCCCTGGCTTATGTTCTCCGACCAAAGGCTGACAGATCTCGGCATCCCTGTGCTTGTGCCAATACCAGGGCCTTCACGTGGACAAACGGTGTAGAGAAACTTGAAACTTTTCCTGTAGGTTTAGCTGAACTCAGAAATGTCTCACGTCCGAAAGTGCTTTGCATAACAACAGCTTTCTGTCTGGGAGTGAATGTCTCCATCAGCAAAGGATCAACCAGCCACTGAAATTTGACTCTTGGCGGACACAATGCCTTCTTCTGGACCCACCAGAGCTCCTCACAACCCCCTTCCTTCAGGGCGGACCCCTCACTTCTTCAAAGAACTTTCTTCTACATCAGTTTCATGGGGACCTTTCAACAAACCACTCAGAAGGGGATGTGTGTGTATCCTCTAGAAACACAATGTAATCATGGTTCTCAGAAGGATTTTGGAGAATTAGGGGATCTGAGTAATTTGTTTTAAAGTCAAACTGTCCAGATTCGCTGTATCTTAACTTTCTCATCTGTAAAACGGGGCAGATACCACTCCTTGCCAAAGTGCCATAGAGCTCAAATATGAGGACCAACATACAAAAACACCTGTGAAAAAGCACGGAACGTAGGTTTTGGGGATGGTCAGGCACTACCATTATTACCTACGATGCTTCTACTTGTAAGGTGTATCACAAGATCAGGATTTATGATGATTCCAATATTAGATAGACTTCCTTCTACAAATGTGCACACGCACAGCCTTATATACATTTACATACAGATTTCCATCTCACCTAAGTCAAAGTGAAAACTAATTCAATACTAATATTTTGACCACAGAAGTATCCAAATATTCCAGAATTATTGCATCTTTAACTCTACTGAAAAATAGACATTCAGATATGACCATAGGATAAAATCCTGATTAACATTTTAGAATCAATTGGTAGGAAAAATGTACTAAGTCCTTCTATGCCAAGTTGGCCAATTCAAAAAGGCTTTTACTGTGAATAAAGGTGATATTTGAGGTTCTCCATTTGGTTTCCCAAGATGCACGTTACATGGCTCCCATGGTGATGCGATTTGCAGAGAGGGTGGCTTCCAAAGGTTGTAGCACAGAATTCACACAGAAATGTATCTGATAGACGGGTAAACACAGTGGAAGAATGGAAGACTCCTGGGGACCTGGAGTAGATTTATTAAGTACACCACAGTTTGGAAATTTTGCATCATAGTTCTGCAGGCCTTTTTGGATGATGATGATGGTGCCTAGAGTTTTGGTTTTATTTTTTATTTTAATTTATTTATTATTTGGGGTTCTTAACTCCAAAGGCTGTCAGCCCATGGTGATAGTCTCCCTCAGGACTTTATCGCCATGTCTTAGATAAGTTGGTGAGTCACCCCAGGTTTGTCTGAGCTCCAGCAATTATGATAGTGGCCATCCCTGGGTGGGAACCCAGAAAACACCATCCGTTTCTGAGAAGCTTGGGACAAAACTTTAAAAATGTTTTCCTAGGCTTCCTGGTGTCTCAGCTCTTCTCCTTGGGTTCTTTGGATGAGCTTCAGCTGGCTCGTATGCCTCCCGATACAAATTTGGGCCCTCCTTTCTCCTTCCTGCTCAATAGCTGCCCGTTCAGAGTACCTGGAATCCTCTCACAGTGGGCCCTGGGTGTAGCTTGGTGTCCTCAGGGATGACAACTTTCTTAGTTGGAGGGCTGAGTCTTGGGGGTCTGCTTGAAACTCACTGATGCCCAGCTGAGTGCTGACTTAGTTTCACTATTATGGTGGGGAAAGTGGGCATGGCTTTCCCTATCCCACTGCCACTGATTCGCACCCTAATTCTTCCCTTCAGTCCATGTGCTAACTCCAATGTGATGAAGAACAGGGCCATTGACATTCTTTGTAAAAATCCTATCCACGTTAGAAATATGAGTCTCAGTTCTCTTTCCCCACCAACCTAGGGCCTTCCCAGGGTCATCTGTGGGAGAGGTGACCAGGCCCTGAGGGTGGTACTGGGTCCCAGCAGGAGGGCAGGAGGGGAATGGCACTGGTGAACTTTCTCTTACCTGATATCAGGGTCCAGGCCCTTCCTGCTGACTGTTTGTGCTCTTCCCGCTGTGGTAGGCTGTGCTGAAGGGCCAATAGCAAGCGGGTTTTTTTTGGGTTTCATTTGTTCTTAACTCCAAAGTCTATAGATTTGCAAATTGGCTTTTGCAAGTGGTAAAGTGGATCAAATTCAGCCTTGTATTAGGTTCAACAGTAGAAACAAAAGAAGCAGAAACTCTATCCCAAAATTTATAATTCCTTCAAAAAACAGGCAAGGTGAAGCAGTAAGATAATAATTCAGTTCCAGAAACAGTTCCTGCCTGCCTGCTCTGTGCCAGGTAGTGGGCCTGGCACCCGAGATACTAAGATGGCCATGCTTCCTGCCTAAAGAACTCACAGCCAGTCAGGGGGACCCATACACACACAGCATCCCACAGAGCAGGCATCCCATCTGTGGAGCCCTGGAAGAAGGTTTGGGCCTGCAGAGAACGGACGCAGCATTTCAGGGGGAGAGTAGCACCACAAGGGTATGGACCTTGCTGTGACCCTGGAGGGTCTGGAGACTGGAGACCCTGCAGAATGGAGCCTTTCTGCAGAGACCATCTAATGGTTTGGTTTCGTGTGGGCAAAGGGACATGCTCCAGAGGACACTGGAGAAGTGGCTGGAACGGAGCTACGAAGGTCCTGATTATTCCTTAGGGGTAGGCAGCCATCAAGGATTTTGGGGCAAGGAGATCACAGCTGAGCTTCTGCTTCAGGAGCTCACTCTGGTATGCCTGGGGAGGCCGGGCTGGAGGTGGGGAAACAGGAAGTGTGAAGCCCTCCTGCAGGCCGCCACGTTCATAGTCTAGGCAAGAGTTGGTACACCCTGGGCCAGGCTCTGAGGGAGGCATTGTAGAGAGAAAGATTCAACAGGTAGAATGGACTCATCCTGGAGACCAACCGGCTAGGAGGGAAGAAGGAGAGAGCGAACTCCCCACGCCCGCTGAGAAAGCAGCAAGAATCCAGCCCCGGTGCAGTTTGGTGGGAAGCGTGCTGCAGCTCCAAACGTCTGGTTGGCCTCCAGCTTCTCAGGAACAAGACTGTTTTGCTAAGTAGATACCCAGGACTTCTGCTATTACTGCTTTAAAAAAGTGCTGAATCTGCTCTTTGCATGTTTTCTGGGGCAAATGGTTGGGCCCATTTATTTACTTGTTTATTTTTCTGAGCAAATGAAACCCAGGCCTGGGCCTTGACCTTTCGGGGGCTGGGTGGGACGGCACTCAGGAGCTTCCAGGAATGGCACATCAACAGCTTCCCAGCAGCGGGAGAGTGCAATTGTTCCATTATAACTTCCCAAACCAGATGCGGCCGGTTCCTCAAGATGGCCGAAACGTGTGCACGCCTGCTGAGCCTCCGAACAGGGAAATCAAGCGTGGGCAGTTCGCTGGATTTTTGCAAGAATTCATCTTCTGTTCTGGCTTAGAGCCTTTCTAGAAAAGTTTGATTTCAAGGGACACTGTTCAAAATTTAACTTCTTTAAAACTGCGTTGGCTGGCCTTGATTATCGGAATGTCCTGGTTCCTGCCCGCTATCTTCCATGGCCTCCTCTTGAAACTCTGAGGTTCCAGCTTAGCACGTCCAGCTTTGCCCAAAAACAAGCCCTCCTCATCCCACCCCCAAAACACCCTCCCTTGTCAAGCTTGGTTTGCTTATCGGTAAAGAGTTAGTGGGGGGATAAGAAACTGGACCGACTTTGTGTTGAGACCTCAGAATGCCAGATGGACGGATTCAGGCATTTTTTGTAGTGAGCTGGGGTCCACACAGTCCAGCCCAGGGGTTGGAGCCATCGACTGTCTGTTTTTGTACAGCCTGGGAGCTCAGAATGGTTTTTCCATTTTGAAATGGCTGAAAAAAAAAAAAAAAACCCAAGCAAGCATAATATTTCATCTCACATGAAATTATATGAAATTCAAATTTCAGTGTCTATAAAAAACGTTTTGAATTTTATCAATAAAAACTCGGAAATTTGTTTCCTCTCTTGTCATGTAAGTACCTACATAATATCTTTGATTTCGCCTCTCAGTCTGCAAACCTAAAATATTCATTAACTTTTTGTAGAAAAAGTTGTAGGTGTCGGGCACTTTCTCTTCCGTCATCTAGTGAGTCTGAATTGAAAACTCTGCTTAGGATGGAAAGATCTTTTAAATCCCTGTTCAAGTTATTATTCGGTAACTGATTACTTAACCAAGTGACTTATTATTTGTCCAAAAGAAAGATATGTTGGCTACTTTTCTATCCATGGCTATTTGATTTTTGCAAAGTAATAATAATCATAATATTGATGATGTTGGTAATAATGATGATGATTCTTGGAGCACTGGGCGCTGGGGGCGGGTGTAAACAGCAGAGCTGACAGACCGCTCTTTGTGCCCACAGGTCACAGGCCTTTCCAGTGCCGCTACTGCCCCTACAGTGCCTCTCAGAAGGGGAACCTGAAGACGCACGTCCTCTGCGTCCATCGCATGCCTTTTGACAACAGCCAGTATCCCGACCGCAGGTTCAAGCGCTCCAGAGTCGACGCGGAGGCCTCTGGGAATTTCGAAGACCCCACAGCTGTCAAGGCGGGGAGCTCAGCGGAGCTCACGCAGGAGGGCTGCAAGGCCCAGGAGGAGCGCAACTGAGCAACCGACCTGTATATTGCAATATTCTTTTACACAGTTTTAAGATTATGCATCTGGTATAAGAGTTTGCTAACTGCATTCCAAGGGGGGGAAAATCATGTACAATCCCCCCCTCAACTAGTGTATAGAACATTTAAAAAATTTAAAAAGATATCTATATATATATTAAAAAAAATTCCCCAGCCCTTGAAAATGGCTGCTAAACTGTTACCCGGCAACAAGTACTTCCAAACAATGCAGGTGGGAGGAAAGTGATTTCAGAAATGCCCGGTGTCCTCTGAGCTTGAGAGAGCTGGGGGCCCTTCCAACCCGAAAGTCCCAAAATCATGCTCTTAACTGAAAAACGATACCATCTAAATGATTTAGTGTTGCCTTGAAGATGGAGGGGCTGTGTTTTCATTGTTGAAAACACCTCTATAATCTGACACCGGCTGCTGTCATTTGCCTAGCACCTTAATGAGACGTGTTGGGAGGCAGCCGCGGTGCCAGTCAGGCGGGAGCGGTCACTGCAGAGAAAATCAATTCGCGTGGTGTCGTCACCGCACTCCCGGAGCAAGCGGAGACGGGCCGCGAGCCCGGCCGCCGGCGCTGCGCAGGACTGCCATCTTAATGTGCGTTTTTAAAAAACACACAGCCAAATGAATCAATGGTCGGGAAGTGTCTGCAGACAAATGTCCATTGCAGGTTTGATGAGTAATTCCTTTTTTTAGATCAAATTGCAGTATTGAAGGAAATGCTTTTTTCTTGGTCTTTTTTTTAAAAATTTTTTGATGACAAAGAACGTTGCTCACAAAAAAAAATTTAGGGGTGCATTATATAAAATGTTTAGAAAAACTAGCCAACCCTATCCACAGAAGGTGCTGGTGAGAAATTTATGTAATAATAGAAAGATTGTTGTTTATTATGATTTTTAAAATTTTACTTGAATGAAGGCTGCTCCGGTCCTTATGATCAGATTTTTCTCATGTGTTAGTTTTTATAAGTGTCACAGACGTGAAGCGAGATTTTCTTCTCGGGCAAGCTCTTAGGAGATAGCTTGTATTAAAAGATGAATCTAAACATCCTGCTCTCAACCGCTAATGAAGAAAACTGTTTGAGTTAAATGTCTGTTTTTGTAAAACAAATGTGTTCTATATTTTTGTAGATTTTAGATTTTATACTGATTGGGTACTCCAAATTGATCAAGTTCTGCACCACCCAGAGGGAGATTTTGAGGGCCAATAATGAAACACTTGACTCATTTTTTAAAAAAAAAAAAGATTTAAGAAGACTGGTGAAGGGTTTATTCTTGAATCTGCTAGAATGGCGTAAAAATTCAGCCTCTTGACATACTTCCTTTGAGTGACACGAAATTGGTGCTGTTGCTTGTGATGGTAGAGAGTATTGAAGTATCAACTTCTTCTAAAACGAAATCATTCAGACTTTAGGAAAAAAGAGTCGATATTTCCTTGCAGGCTGGGAGCACAGAATAAAACCCCAGGGCCTTAAAAACTTCAGCTCTGCCTACAGCAGTTTACGAAACTACTAAACTGCAATCAATGTAAATAAAATGCTTCGCTATCCTGAGACCAGAAGGAATCTCAGGCTAATAAGGAATCCGGTTTGCATATGCTGTCGGGCGGGTGTCATCTCCCCGAGGTTTCCGAGTGAATGAGGTCGCTGCGCAACGTGGACCCATCTGGCATAGAGCAAGCTGCTTTCTTGTTTTTCTAGAATAGTTCTCACTGCCTTACTTAAATCGAGTTGATAAACTTAATGCAACTGTTTCTATGATCCTAGAGAAAGGACTGAGATATTGAAAAGTTTCTGACTGTAGTAAGCTTTAGGATTCTAACTGCACTACTGTGTTTGGTGACTGTGCCAGTCGCTTGCTTTCTGTGTGTTTGCCCCGCCTTTGGTATCTTAGCAAAGAAAAATACAAAAAAAGCAGAAAAAAAAAGTAAAAAGAAAAAAGAGGAAAAAAAGCAGAAAAAAAAAAAAAAATGAGAGCCACATCCCATTTCTAGCACTTTGGGAGCTCTTTCAGTATTCTTTTGTGTCTTCTGAGCGTCGTCAGATGCGACAGGCAATAATTCTGTTTGTGACACTGGGAACATCCCCTCTTCTTTGTGACGTGTGTGTTGCTTCCACTCTGTCCAGTGGTACCGTCCTTGTTTCCCCCTCTGACACAGGCCTTCTCTCCAGAACATTTGTAACTTGTAATACAAACAAGTGACAGCCGCAGTGATGCAGTGTCAGTTTCTGAATGTCATCAGGTTCTCATATCTAAACATGTCAAGTTCTTTCCCTGTAACTTCTGTAGTCTGTGATGCTGGTCATAATACTGTCTCCATTCCTACACAAAGAAAAAAGTCTATCTTGGAGGAAATCTGAGATCAATAGAGTAGAGGATTTTGTTGCTATGCTTGTAACAAGTAGAAAACTTTGTATTTAAAGTTTATTCTTGGTCATTATTTATTATTATAATACATCAGTTGACAGAACTTTATTCTGGTATAGAAAGTATTAAAAGTTGTTTTTTCAGCAATGACTGTTTTCTTTCTGCTGTTAGAATAAAATGTCTTTGAAGCAGTCCAGTTTTATCCGGTGTTTTACGCAATAAAACCTCTACCTCTGGAAAAAAAGAAAACATCTTTTCCTATTCGCTTATGTTTACTAGGAAGAGTAAAGCATATTTTTGCAGCTTTGTCAGGCTTTGGTAAGACTTGGTCGGATCCCGCTTATAAAAAACAAGCCCCACAGTATTCTGGGCGGACGGTCCCCACAGCCGTGCGGGTTTTTGAGTGCCATGAATCTCTATGCAGTATAAACAGTGTCAGAGTGTGTGTGTGTGTGTGTGTGTGTGTATGCACACCCGTGGGCATGTGTGAACGACGTTTCTTTAAGGCTTGCAGACATTGGTCTCAGGAAGGTAAAACCCATGGAAATACTCATGCTCTTCCTATCACAGTAACCATCTCAGACTCTTAAAGCACTGGGATCTATTGTTCCCCTTTACTGATGGAAAGTTTTTTAAAAAAATCATTAAATGCAAGGAAGTCTGCCTCCAAATTATCAGAGGGTAATCTGAATTCTTCCTCTGGAAGGAAAGAAGAGGAACAAAGACGGGTAAAGCCTCTGGTGTCAGAGGCGACTGAAAAGGCAGAACTCTGAGACTTACTGGAGAGGGGTGAAGTGTGTGCCCCACACTGGATGGGCAGAAGGTTTTTTTTTTGTGAGGAAGATTGGCCCTGAGCTAACATCTGCTCCCAATCTTCCTCAAGCAAACGGAGGATTTTTTTGCTTGAGGAATATTGTTGCTGAGCTAACATCTGTGCCAATCTTCCTCTATTTACGTGGGATGCTGCTGCAGTGTGGCTTGAGGTGCTAGGTCCAAGGCCAGGATCTGAACCTGTGAACCCCAGGCTGCTGAAGTGAAGAGCGTGAACTTAACCGCTACGCTACTGGGCTGGCCCCCAGAGTTGCTTTTCGATTTGCTTTTTGTTGTTGTTGTTGATTTGGTTTCATAACCAAGCTCGTATAGCGCATGCAGCTCGAGAATATGGAGGGCCCACGGAAATGTGGCCACAAAGGCATCCATCCACGTGTTATAGGAATTTGTAAGTACCGTGTTTCTTTCAGGATGCCAGACTGTTGGTGTCACCGGATGGGAGCAGATGATCTAAGCAGAATCTTTGGCAGTCCTGACCATCCGTCGTTACAAACAGCAAAGGTGAGTTACAGGGTTCCAGGGACGGGTCAGGAAGTGACTCCATTATGGGAAGAAGGTTGAATGAGGGGGTCATGATTTCCACCTGAACCACAAACATAATGGATCCCAAACCCAAATGCCTCCAGGGTCCAGGCAAGACACCTCAGTGGAGAGAGGAGGAGAAGTGGAATGGAGGCACCTCAGGGGGTATGTGGACCCTCAGCAACCGCTCGCCTTTGCCATGAGGAATGTGGCATCAGAGCCTCTGGGTTTTCAAGAGACACCGGATGCCTGGATTTTGTATGAAGTCTCCCAATTTTCACATGTTGGCTCAACGTGTGTTTTAAAAAACTGCGCAATGAATGGATGAACAAAATGTGTTTTTTTTCCATGAAGTGGAATATTATTCTGCCACGAAAAGGAATGGAGCACTGGTACATGCTTCAACACGGATGACTTTGAAAATATGCTTACTGAAAGAAGCCAGACACAAAAGACCTCGTATTATATGCTTCCATTTCTATGAAATATCCAGAACAGGCAAATCCATAGAGACACACAGTAGATTAGTGGTTGCCAGGGGTTGAGGGGAGGGGGGGCTGGGGATTGACTGATAATGAGTAGGAGGTTTCTTTTTGCAGTGATAAAAATGTTCTAAAATTAGACAGTGACGACGGTTGCCCAACTCTGAATATACTTAAAACCACTGAATTGTATACTTTAAAAGGGTGAATTTTATGGTATGTGAATTATATCTCAATAAAGCTGCTATAAAATAAAAATAAAACTGGAAGGAGGCCTTTTTAAGAAGCACCAATATATATTTCCATCAAAATATTTTGAGCTCTCCTGTAGTCATTGACAATTGCCAGATTAGTACATTGTAAAGAATACAGAATTTGGGGCGTAATGACTTAAATTTGAACCTTAGCCATACTACTTACTGGCTGCTTGCTCTTGAACAATTTAACTGTTTTGAGTTCAACAGTCATATCTGTAAAATTATGAAATTAAATGTAATAAAGTAGGGGAAATTATATATACCTTTTGTAAAGTAGCCTACAAATGCTACATATTGTCATTATTGTGGTATAAAAAGTTATGGATAAATCTCAGGTTAATTTCACAGCCACAAACCCTTGTGTTTTGGAAAGGCCACCATGTGGTCAAGCGACCAGGACTCCTCCACACTCATCTCTTTCAGACAAGATGACCCTGCACAACTGTCTTAAACTTTTTGTCTTCCAGTATTCTCCTTGGAAAAATCAGAGTATGAACAATTTTTGCCATTCTGAGGGCAGCAGGCAGGCAGCTGGGGAAAGAGCAGGATCCATCGGGAAGAGAACTGGTTTTGGGGTTAGAAGTTATTCCACTCAGTTGTTCAACAAATATTTACCAGGCATATTTATTCCAGGCTCAGGTACATGCTGGAGAGACAGTGTAAGTCAGGGATCATGCCCACAGACCACCCTCTAAGGAGAAAACAGATTTCACTCTGATAATCACACAAATAAATATCAAATATCTGGAAAAGGTAACTCAAAGAGAACAGGGCTTTCCCATGTCCCAGTTGACTTTCCTAAGTGGCGATGAGGAACTGAGATAGGAAGGAGAGCATGCCAGGCAGAGAAGCAACACATGCAAAGGCCCTGCGGTGACTGGACGGGGCTCTGAAGCCCTGCCGCCACCTCTTGTTAGCTGTGTGATCCTGGCAGATCATTCCACTTTCCCAAATCTGCTTCTTTATCTATGTAGTGGAAAATAACAGTGTGGACAACGCAAGGCTCTTTCTGAGGTTAAATGAGATAGTATACATAAAGAGATGTGCAGAGAGCAAGCCAGGCACCACCAGATTCGAGGGACCGTCACTAAAGTGACAATGGCTAGCAACCCACACAAACATTGAAACTCGTGTGTTCTGCAGGCGCATGGCTTTCTGGCCCCGCTCGGGGGTCAGCCAGAAGAGGGTGGTCGGAGAGCTATTCACATGAGGTCTCCGACAGCTCTACAGACCGTCAGTAACCTTGCACGCTTAGCGGCCTCAGCCCCAGGAAAGAGTGGATGGAAATTTCCTGGGCCCAATCCAGGGACGTTGTATGGCTCCAGTTTATCCCTCTGTGGATGGGCTTGGCCACCATGGCGGCAGCGCCATTTGCTGGAAGTCTCTGCAGGATGATGACAAGCATCCTGAACTGCCAGGAGGAAAAGGTCCCCAGGACACGAGACTTTCAGAGCTAAAACCAGGGCGGCCTGGACAAACACCAAGGGTCCGTCGCTCCAGGTCTAAGCCAACTTGCTCCGCAGGCCCATTCCAAGCCAGGCTATTGCCCCCATAACCCAGGAGGCCAGCGTGCGGCCCACTGGGGGCAGCCCAGGGGCTCAGAGCAGGCGCTCTGGCAACGTGAGATTTGGGTTCCTTCCTCCTTGCCACAGCACCTTTACTGTAAGGATGGAAGGTGACACCGCGCTTGGCGTGGCACCTGGCACACGGTCCTTATCGTATCCATTCTCGTTGAGGGACTGAGTCAATCTCTGTTCCTACTTCCAACTCAGGTGGCTCAAACGTGGATTTCTCTTCCTGGCAGCCAGAAGCTGCTGGGCTGCTGACACTTGTGCTAAGGTACTATTTTGTGCTGAAACTTTTATAATGATGATAACCCTGCTGTCTCTCGTAGTTTGGGATTTGCACGCTTCCCCCTCTCTGTTTAACATCTGTATTGTAACAGTATATTATGAAAACCTCACCTGGTGTATTGTAAGCATGATCCCAAGGAAATTAGTGTTAAATACTGTGATCTTCTTTTCAAGATAGAAGGGCTGGGCCCGTTGCAGTGAACTAGAGGTATGTTTCCATGGGGAAGGAGAAAAATTCATAGTGTAATGCAATATTAAAAATGTTGCCCAGCTGAGCATTCCATGTAGGGGCTTATGTAGAGTTTTAATCTCTTCACCTGTTGGTGTTAAGAGAAAAGAGAGAGAAGGAGGGAGGGAGGGAGGGAGGGAGAGAGAGGAGGGGCTTATGTGAACAGGGAAATCACAGGCAAAGAGGAGGGGGAAAATTTAAATGATCCCAGACCGAACTGTTTTGCTGTTAATACAGAAATACAGTGCAAGACACATTTAATGGGCTCTATTTTTTATTATACTATGCTGAATAATTAAGTTTGAGGCTAAGTGTCACATGGATTTATCTTTTAATTAAAAAAGCATGGTTCACGCATATTTGAGTGGTAGTCCAAATAAATGCAATATAGAAATTTATGTTTGTTTATCTAGGTGTTAATTACCTAGAGATTGTTCTGGATTACTTCTTTTTATAAAGTGTCATAGGCTCGTGTCAGAGCGAATAAAGCTTGCCCATGGAACCTTATCAATTTGCTAACTATAGGGCTGGTCTGACCTGAGGGGGGGCACGGCAAAACTTTGGGGATCCTTATGTATACACACGCCCCCATTCAACCCACACCAAATAAAACAGTCGTTTTAGAAAAATATTTCCAGGACATAAAGGCACAAATATATCTTCGTTGGTTTACAGCCTCTTGTCCACAGCTATTTATAAAACATGTGATTATTTATGCATTGGGTTATGAGGAGTTCGGCTGGGAGAGGCCGTGAAGGAGGTTCCATCCATCCAGTTACCTGAATCGGGCAGAGGTGGAGGCGGGGTGTCCCCGGAGAGATGGGGCCCGACAGGAAGTTGGCCGCTGTGATTTGTCTAAAATATGTCAGCCTTGCTGCTGCTCGCGGACCTGCCAGGCAGTGGGAGAGAGGACAGCAGAGTTGAGGGTTAGAGGTCACATTTTTAAAATCAAGGATGCACACTGAGAAAGTGAAACCAGAAGCCCCCACAAATTGCTCCTCATACCTTGGGTCAGCCCCTGGCTTTGCCTTTGTTTACAAAGTGATTTTTGGAGACAGGTTCAGTGAAATGGCTTGGAGGAAACCGACAGCTTTGGTCAAAAGCTTCGACTTGAAAGAAAGAGACTTTCCAAGGGCTGGAAAATTCCAAGCCCGCCTGGGAATGTCTAAGCTGGGTGCACGCCTTTGTTTCGGAGGTTTGTTTTCTTGCATCTTCTGCATCGCCTGGCCTTTTTCTACTGCGCACCACGCCTCCATTTTTGGTTGTCACATCACCAGAAAATCAATAAAAGTAACTGCGGGTCCCGGTGGGCTTCCCCCGGCTTGGTGGGCCGTGCTCCCTGGGGCGCAGGGAGAGCAGGAGGGGAGCCTGGCATCGGCTCTCAACTGTGCTCCTCCCCGCCCAAGCTGGGGGAGCATGGAGAACCCCCAAACAGCAAACCAGCCCAACGTGGAAGCGCCCCGCTGGGTAGGGTTTCATTTTCAATCTTTGTTTCCTTCCTCGGGAGACCTGGGGACTGATGGGGCGGGTCACTTGGCAGCGTGCCCGGAGAGGTGGGCCCGGGCGGGCACCGAGCAGGGCGCGGCGCCAGGCGCGGGCGCCCTGGCCTCCGTGTCGCCGCGGGTGGGGGCGGGTCTCCTCGGCGCGGACCCCTGCAACCGGCCTCTGAACCAGCCCGCGCCTCCAGCGATCAAAGCGGGAGCGAGAAGGCCCCCGCCCCGAGGCGCGATTCCCGGAGCTCGCCAGTCCCCGCGGGCCGGTCTTCTGGAGGGGAAGGGGACACATGCGCCCGCCTGGGCTCGCCGCGGCGTCGGGCACGGCGGAGGGCTCGGATCCTGCGCAGTGCCAGCTGACAGCCCCATTACCGCGGACAGGATCAATGCCTCGTATCTTTTAAATTATTGACACTTAAACTCTGTTTTCCTCCCAAATCACTGCCTATTTCCTCCCCAGAATCATTGCCGTTATCAGAAATTGGGCCCCAGCAGCACTGGGGGATTGAGTGGGGATGCTGCCAGGTGCCGAGGACACAGGGGAGGACAGCAGCCGAGGGTCCCTGCCCTGCTTCTCACTCACCCCTGCGTCACTACCAATCTGATGCACAAGGTGAGTTGTTGGGAAGTGGACTGGGGGCCCCTGGAGTTCCGAGGTCGGAGAGGCCCTTGCGCTGAGCTCTCTGGGTGAGGAGGTGCTGGCGGCCGGCATGTCCCCGAGCCTTGTTCACAGATGAGGGGGATCCCAGGGTGGTGGTTGAAAGCCTGGGCTTTGGAGGCCCTGAAAGAAGACACCTTGCAAGGCCTTGGGGTCCAGGCCATTGGTCTGGAATTGCATGGAAGAATCCACGTGCCCAAGAATATTAGCTTTTTTAAAAAAAACTGTATTGAGGTGAAATCCTGATAACATAAAAGTAACTGTTTTAAAGTGTACGATTCAGTGGCACTTAGTATGTTCATAATGTTGCCCAACCACTCAGTATATTAAGACCCAAAACATCTTCATCACCCCAAAAGAAAACCCCATATCTGTTAAGCAGTCGCTCTCTGCGCCCCTCTCCCCAGCCTCGGGCAACCACCCGGCTCCTTTCTGTCTCTGTGGATTTACCTATTCTGGACGTTTGGTGTGAATAGAATCCTACAACACGTGGCCTTTGTGTCTGAGTGACTTTACTTTACATGCTGTTTTGCGGTTCATGCACGCGGTAGCGAGTGTCAGCATCACTCCTTTCTGCGATTGAACAACACTCCGCTGTATGGACGCGCTGACGGACGTGTGCCGGGTCCCCTTTTGGCTGTCTCCGATAATACTGCTGTGAACACTCGTGTACAAGGATTTGCGTGCCTGGTTTCAGCCATTTTAGGTGTATACCTAGGAGTGGAATTGCTGGGTCATTGGGTAATTGTATGTTTAAATTTTTGAGGAGCCACCAAAGTCATCAGTTTTTTATTCAACAAATCAGCTCACATCTCTACACTGCTTAGAACCCTCAGCGGCTCTCCCTGACGTCAGAATAAACCCGTACTCCTCCCCGTGGCCTTTGAGGCTCTGCGTGATCTGACCTTGCCACTCTCTCTAACTTCGTCCTCCACCTCTCCCTCAATACCCTCCATCTCTAGCCAAAAAGGCTTTCTTTCTTTAGACTTGCCAAACCTGTTCCTGTCCCAGGGCCTCTGCACTTGCTGTTCCCTTGTGCCCTTTCCATGCCGGGTGCCTTCAGCTTCTCAAGTTTCAACTCAAATGTCCCTCAGAGAAACTCTCTGTCACCACTGGATCCATGTGTGCCTGGCCCTTGTATTAGAGCACAGCCCATCATCCTAACTCCCTTGTGACAGTAATTAATTACTCTCTAAAAATATCTCGTACCCTTTTGTTTACGTGCTATGGTCTGCCTTCCTTACTCAATTCCTTGAGAGCAGGGACCTATCTTTCAGAACCCTGGCACAAACGATGCCTGGTGTAGAGTAAAACCTCAAATAAATACTTATTGAATACATAAAAATTCCCAGCCCAATTATCTTTGATAATAATCACTAGAGTATTGTGGAAATTTTGTTATCTTTTAAAAAAGAAGTTCCTTTGCGGTCTCCAGAAAGGAAGCCCCAAACAAAGAATATAGACTAGCCTCGAAGGCAGACCAGCAGCGTCCTGGAGAACTTGGGTGTGGTCCTCCCTGCCTGCAGTGTGCCTGTGTCCATGGCTGGGCCCGAGGGGCTGGCAGCCCCGCCTTGACAAGGCTGGTCTGACGTCCCTGTGTGTCACCTTCTTCTGAGACCAGCTCCCCAAGCTTTGTAGAATGGCTCATAGCTGCCAAGTGGGTAGCTGCAATCAGGAGACTTGGATCTGAGTCCAAATCTCCTAAACTGGACACATGCCTTTGTCCCTCTGAGCCTCAGTTTCCTGATCTGTAAAAGAGGCTGCTGACATTTGCCAGCCAGACTTACTGCGAGCCACAAATGGGATCACGGCGAAGTGCTTTGCTAACGGAAATGCTGCACACCCCAGTTATTACCACAACCAGTAACATGAAAAAACACGTGTGCCCTGCCCATGCCAGGGTGTGGGCAGGGAGATGGAGCCCAGCAGCCTGGTCAGGGTCTGCTGTGGCCACCCCAGCTCCCTCTCCCGCCCTGTTGACCCTGGCCACACTCATGCCTGTGACCCTGGGGTCAATGCCTCCTCTTAATGCCTTTCCATTTCTCAGTTTGCTGACTGGGGTGATTTTCGGTGAGGTCCACATAAATACTTCAAAAATAATTCACGATGAAGAGCAACGCTTCTGGAATGGATGATGGCACGACGAATTAAACGCTTTATAGGGCCGAACGTAAATTATTTTAATGCATGTAATAGATCCACCCGGGGAGACTTGAGCCCCTCTAGGTCATGCCTCTGTGCCCCCAGGGCCCAGAGGGTGGTGGGAGCAGGTGGCTGGGAGCCTGCTGTGCTGGGGCGTGAATCATTTCCCTCTCCAAACACCTATTCCCCCAGCACTTAGGTCCTCCTGACCTGACGAAAGAATAGGAAGGTTCCCACACGGGCCAGGCAGCAGCAGGAGTCAGGATCCCCGATGAGGCCGTGTGAGAGCATCCGTTCCCAGTGACGGCGGCCTGACCACACCCTGCCTTCCATTCACTGTCTGCTCCTCCTGAGGGGGTAAGGAGGCTGCTCTATGGCACCAGGCACTTAAAATATTTTGTTTCCCTTGAAAATGTTAAGCAGCAGGACTAACGTTCCAGTGCAGGTCATCAACAAGCAGCATTTCACATTTAGACTCTTTGCGTCTCAGTGCAGGAAGAAATCACAGAGATGATCGTGCCCAACGTACCCATTCAAGAGAAGAGAAAGCTGACAGCTGGAGCAGCTCTGCATCCTGTGCTCACAGACGTAGGAAATGAACACACATGTGAAGCTGAGGGCTAGCTAGGCAATATTTCTAGAACAATATCAAAAGATTGTTGTTGTGGTTTTGTAATTACTGAGGGAGGTCTATAATCCCAAAGGAAAAAATTCATTGATTCCAGAACGTGCTTCTATGACCGCTTATGGTCAAGCAAAGCACAGTGCTTTATGTTGACCAGTTGTCTCATATCTGGAGAGAAGCTTTGCTTCTTCACTCACCGTTTAATGACCATGCATTGGTTCCAGGGTGTGTGCTGGCACTGGACACACACTCTGAGCCAGGCGTGAACGCTGGTCTCGGCAACTCACCACTGCCGATGACCTCAGGAAGGACTCACATCAGGAAAGCTCCAGGAACCCATGCGATGCACTCGACTGAGTTCTGGGACGGCTCCTTCCACACGCAGCTTCCTGATGGCCTGTCCATCTGAGTCTGCAATCCCAGCCTCGGTGAGTCAGTCATGCACATCAAAGTCAACGTGATTGAGCATAAGAGCAGGGGGAAGAGAAGATTAGAGATAGCAACCACTTCCAGGGAAAGCAGTGTGAGGTGAGGGGATGGGCCTTGAAGGAAGACCAGCATTTGTTCATGAGGGGCTGTGGGAGAGGAGGGGAGAAGGTTCCAGGAGGAAGGGTCAGTGGGCCCCAAAGCTGAGATCCAGAGGTTCCTGGTGGGTTCTCTGACTAACAGGCGGGCCAGGAAGACCAGAGCCCAGACAGCAGGCTGAGGGGGGGCAGGATGCGGCTCCCAGAGGCAGGTATACAGAGATGGCCCCAGTGTGTTTTCCCAATATTTTTCATTGTCACGTAGATCAGGAGGGGATTGACAGACTCTGTTACTGAAAGAAGTTAGGCTGGCTGGTAAGGAAATAAATCACACTGCACCCCAGGACGACTTCCAAATGGAAATTAAAATTGTAGCCCACAGAAGGAATCTTCTGAGACAGTTGATAATTACGGTCCACCAATGGTACAAATTGAGTGCATCATCTCCCCCATTAAACCTCTCTATCCAGCTCTGGGCCAGTCATTTCCTCTGTGCTCCCAGGGCACTGGCTCTGGATGGGAGTTCAGGACTCTCTGCACTGCGCCATGGCAGCTTCTGTGTGTCTCTACCTACACCGGACTGGGTCCTTTGAGGGCAGCGGCTTGTGCATTCCTGGGTCTGTGATGATCCATGATGGAAGCCTCACGTATGCTTCCGGGTTCCATCTGTATAAATGAATCAAATCAAAGTCCAGACTTCCAGGATTTAGATCCAACATAGCCACACCATCTCCAATTTTAAGTTTCTGGAAAGAAACCACTCAAACCATCAAAAATATGGTTGGCTTTTAGATGGCAAGTTTGTTCAGAGCCAGAATGGTGTATCCCTCGCAGCCTTAATACGGTTCCTGGCGCCGATGTGCATCCGATCAATGTCTGCAAGATGAACGCCATGGATTTGTAATGCATGTTCTCAATGCCCTGCCCCGTGTCCCCTTAGCTCCCCTCTGAGTCCTTCTACAGCTGCGGGGGACAGTTCTCAGCTGCTGACAGCTTCCTGCCTGACGAACCATAAGAGCATGCTCAGCTGCGGGGAAGCCTGGAAGCGCTCAGCATTAATGCCCCCAGGGACAAGCCTCGATCAACCCGAGAAGGGAGTCAGGGGATAAAAGCCTGGACACTGGCATTCTCCACAGGCCTCAGGGCCCTGCAGGACGGAGTCCCGGGTGCCCATCAGGGCACCCAGCACTGGCTCCTCGCCGTTCCCTGTCTCCTTCATTTGAGTTTCCTGGAATCATTTCCTAAATGAACCACCTGTACCCATGCCCTTGTCTTACCAAGTGTCTGCTTTTTGGGGGAACCCAAACTAACAGACCAGCTAAATAATTATATAAATAAATGTTGAATGGATGAATGAATGAATATAAATGAATGAATGACTGAAATGATGGAGACATCAGAGGAATTGAGAACAAATTGTGCACATTTCACCACCCTCCCTGAGCTGGTCTGAGACCCAGCTGGCAGAAAGGAAGGCTGTGTGGCTCCTTCCTGAAGTGCAGACTCAGGTAGAAAGGATCGTGTCTCTGTGGGCTTGTCCCTGCAGTGCCACGGGGGCCAGGAGGCCTCTGTGTCCAGAAGGTGCAGCCATAGTCGGTGACCAGCTCCCAGTTGGGCCCCAGAGCATGCTTCTTTGTGGCCGGCCTCCATTCCACCTGGACTCTAAGGAAACTCCAGCCTTCGATGGAGGTGGTCACCTCAGGGAGCGAAAGCCATCCTTCCTGCCACAGTGAGACCATGGTCACCTGTTTTGAGCTGAGTCTTGTATAAGTGACACAAAAGCCCAGAGAACTGAGGTGGGAGTGGAAACATAGAGGAGCAGGGCCTCTTGCAGTGGCCCCTTCCCACCCCCACCCATTTTGAAGCGAGGACGGGGACCATCACGCACCTGCAGGTGGGAACAGAATGCTCTGCCGAAGATCGAGCGAGGAAAGCCAGACGCCGCTGGGCGCTGAATGACAAGCAGCCTTCTCCCGGACCGGCTGCGAGGGCTGCTAAGAATAGACCCGGGCCAGGATGCAGTCCCTCGGCAAGAGTCTTGGGAACATTCTAGACTCCTGCAGCAGAGCCCCCTTCTTCCTCAGCCTGGCTGTGAAGGGGCTCAGAGTGCCACAGCCTCTGCCTCTGCAGCT